CTCACCTCAGCCTCCCAAAGTGCTGGGATTACAGGCTGAGCCACCGAGCCCGGCTTTATATTTTTTCTTAGACAGAAGAGAATTGTCTAATGAATGTCCTCTCATGGGTCTTAACATTTTACCAATCTTCTTTTCCTCTCTTCCCCTCCCTCATGATTTTTCCTGACATATTTAAATCAAATCCCATATGTCTTGTTATTTTACCCCAAACTACCTTAGTATGCATCTCTAACTAATGATTAAACAACAACAACAAAACAACTAGACCAGGCATGGTGTCTCACACCTGTTACCCCAGCCTTTTGGGAAGCCAAAGTGGGGAGGATCGCTTGAGCCCAGGAATTCGAGACCAGCCTAGGCAACATACTGAGACCCTCTCTCACAATGAATCAAAAAATTAGCTGGGTGTGGTGGCACACACCTGTAGTTCCAGCTACTTGGAAGGCTTAGATGGGAGGATCGCCTGAGCCCAAGAGGTCGAGGCTGCGGTGAGCCGTAACCACGCCACTGCACCCCAGCCTGGACTGAAATCCCAACTCAAAATGAAAAGTCATTCATTTGTTGGGGGAAAAACAAGTCATTTGTCCTGCACTGTGTCTCCCATCATGAATTTGACTGATGGTGTCTCTGTTGTGCCATTTAGTTAGTCCCCTTATCCTCCTGGCTAGATCTGGTGTCCTGTTGGATTTGGGTGAAGTTTTCCAGGCAAGGCCATCACAGGGCTGTGCCCTTCCAATGACATTGTGGTCACAGAGGCACGTCATGGCCATTCGTCCCACTTCTGCCACAGCCAACAATTATTTGGTGGGCTCAGGGTGTATCCACCCACTTCTGGCCTATGATGTCCTTGTCAGGGCATTGGGAGGGCACCAGAGAGCCAGGAAAACTCTTCCTTTCCCAGGCAGTGAAGACAAAGCCCAGAGGACCATCCGGGCAGAACCACACGTGGCTTGCCCCATCCAGTCTCCCCTCTGTCTTAGGTCTGTCTCGTGCCTCTGAATGTTCGTTCCTTCCTTTAAGAACCGGTTATGGAGGAAGACACGGTCCCCAAATCCTGGAAGCCACTGCATTGGTACTGACCCAAACAGAAACTGGAACGCTAGTTTTGCAGGTAGGTGGGAGTAGGGGAGTTCAAATCCCGCTGCCCCTGGACTAGCCTGGTCTGCCCATGCCCTGGGCTGACCAGCACACAGCCAGTTTCCACCTGGCTCCGAGAGACTGAGGCATGCCCTTATGCTCTGCCTCTGTGTGCTTCTTTTCTTCTTCTTCTTCTTCTTTTTTTTTTTTTGAGTTGGAGTCTCACTCTGTCGCCAAGGCTGGAGGGCAGTGGCATGCTCATGGCCACTGCAGCCTAGACCTGCTGGGCTCAGGCGATCCTTCTGCTTCAGCCTTCCAAGTAGCTGGAACTACCGGCACGTGCCACCACACTCAGCTAAGTTTTTGATTTCTTGTAGAGATGAGGTCACACTAGGTTACCTAGGTTGGCCTCAAACCCATGGACTCAGGCAATCCTCTCACCTCGGCCTCCCGAAGTCCTGGGATTATAGTCATGAGCCACTGCGCCTGGCCACGTTTTGTTTCTTAGATTTTATTTTTGTAATTTTGAGAGGGAAGGAGTCAGTGACATCTGTCGTCCTGAGAGAATGGCGAGACTGCAGTGTCCAATCATGTTTAAAAAACACCCTTGTCTTAGATGTACGATTCCCAGGACATTCCTTATCCCGGGTCACGCCAGCTCTGCCTGGGCACATTGTAGGCGGGGAGAGGGACTCTGTGTGGCAACTCCAAAGAGGGCAATTAGCGCTGCTCCTCTGACGGGCAAGACCATGCTGTGAAGTCAAACGCTAGCAGTTTTCCCTCGATGTGCAGATGTGAACCCCAGCAGCTTACTGTCACGGAAAGAGAATGAGAGTTAGGCGACCTGGGTTCTGAGTCCTAGCCATTTAAAAGCCATGCCTCACAGACGTGCCCACTGTGTCCCAGGAATGTTCCCGTCTGTCGTTTCTTATCTGGAATGAGGCCACGGAAGCTCGGGATCCTGGGGCTGACAAGGGTTTGGGTCTAAACCCAACTTCCCGCTCCAACTCGTTCGCCTTCACTATTTCACAGTGAAGCGGATGTTTTGTTTTAAAATTCATTTTAGGCCAGGTGCACTGGCTCACGCCTGCAATCCCAGCACTTTGGGAGGCCGGGGTGGGAGGGGTGGGAGAGTCACTCGGGCCCAGGGGTTCAAGATCAGTTCACATAGCGAGACCTCATCTCTACAAAAAAAAAAAGACTGTGGGAAAGGAGCTGATAAGAATGTGGGAACTGAGGGCATCAAAGTTAAGTCAGATATTCCCACAGCTGGCTGGTTTCACTCAAACACACACACACACGCGCGCGCACGCACGCACACACACGCACACATAGTCTGAATGCCCTAGGGAACTATGCTGTGAAGTAATGCAGAGGGCAGTATTTCTAAATACCTGCCACATAAGCATAAGAGATTTTAGCCACAACCATGGATGATTTTTGGCAGCCCTTGGCCATTCAGATCTGAACCAAGAGAAAAAGTTGACAACAGAACAGAAAGCGTGGAGTCATTTTCGTTAATCGTTGGGGTTCATGTTAATGACCTGGAGTGCTTACTCATGACAGTGCGTTCTCGAGTGTGTTGTTAATTATTTATGATGACTCCCGTTGGTACAACACCACATCAACTCTGCCCATCTATTTACTTATCTTGTAGAGATGGGGGTCTTGCGAGGCAGCCCAGGCTGGTCTTGAACTCCTGGCCTCAAAGGATCCTCACACCTCAGCTTCCTAAAGTGCTGGGATTCCAGGCGTGAGCTGTTGTGCCCAGCCAGCTCTATCCATTTAAAGGAGGCCTGACAAGTCTCCTCAGCTTTCGCCAACCCAGCACCCGCCCTCTGCCGTGCCCACCCTGCAATCCACACTCCGGACTAGGTCCTTGGGGACGTCTGGCCACGGCCTGCCTGGCACCAATACCTTCAGCACCCCTTTGGGTTGACTATCCCACATTTGTTTCCTTGGCCTGTGGGCTAATGTTTCTGCTTGGTCTATCCCCTGCAGGCAAAGGAGCCAGTGACAACCCTTGCTCCGAAGTGTACCACGGACCCCATGCCCATTCGGAAGTGGAGGTGAAAGCAGTGGTCGATTTCATCCAAAGACACAAGCACTTCAAGGCTTTCATCGACCTGCACAGCTACTCACAGCTGCTGATGTACCCCTATGGCTACACGATCAAGGAGGCCCCGGATGCCGCCGAGCTGGTGAGTGCCGGACACCTTCCACCCAGACCTGCCAGGCCGGGCGATGCTGTCCTGTAGTGGCCCTGCGGCTTTCCAGGGCACGCCTAGACGCCTGGGCGTGTTTCCTCAAGGGCCCGGGCCCCTCTCCCCGCCAGCTGGACTATGCCATCCGAGCAGCAGGCACAGGAAGGACCTGCCCTTGTTCCTGTGTCTGCTGTGAGTTCCCAGAACCCCGCCTCCCCCCGCCTTTCCTCCTGGCTTTTCTGACCGCAGCGCACCACAGACCTACTTCTTGCTGAGGACTGCAGGTGGCCTGTGGTGGGCCGGGACAGAGCAACTCATGCTGGGGAGGAACGCGTTTCAGGAGGGTGTAGACCATGGCCTGGGTGCTCTGTGTCCTGTCCAGTGGTCACCCTGGTGTGTGGGCTGTCAGCAGTGGGCCGGCATGGGTGGGGGAACCACAGGCTGCGTCCTCTGACAGTCTGCGGGAGTGCGCCCCTCTGCCAGGGCCACCGCTGGCCCTTGAAGCTTGGGCAGGTGCAGATGGGTGGGTGAACCACTCTCCAGGCCTGGGGGCGTTTTTTCTTTTGGTCTGTTTGTTTTGTTTTTTTGAGTCAGAGTCTCACTCTGTTGCCCAGGTTGGACTGCAGTGGTATGCTCACAGCCACGCGAGCATCCACCTGCTGGGCTCAGGTGATCCTTCTGCCTCAGCCTTCCAAGTAGCTGGAACCACAGGCATGTGCCACCATGCCCAGCTAATTT